AAGGAAATGATGGGGTGGATGCGGATTTGGTGCGGATTGAGCACCGTCTCCGCGAGGACGGTGTCTGCTTCTGGAGCTTCAACACTGTGCTGCGGCAGTGGGCGATGGGCCGCGCAGGCGAACTGTATTCCTGCCCCGCCAGCCTGGGGCTTCTCGTCGACGTGGGTGGTGGCTGCTGCTGGCCCGCCACTGTGCAGCCTGGCACGCGAAACTACCCGCTTGCGGCGCTCCGTAACACGTTGATGCAGCCCGGCTACCGCTGGACGTGCCCGCTGGAGCGGGAGGGGACGTTGCGCGTGCGTCGAGGGGTTGCAACAGCGCGGGCGGCGTCATATTTTGGTCTGCAACCGGTTCCTCCGACGGAGAGCGTGTGCGATGTCTCTCTTGCGGCCTATGTTGCGGCGTTCTTGCGTCGGTGCGAAGAGGGCGGCGAAACGGAGGAGGAGCGTGCGTCAGTCTCCCTGCCAATTCTGGTGCGTCGTGGCGTGTGGGAAAAAATGGAGAACATCCGAATGCTGGATGACTTGCCCGACAGCTTCTTTCTGATGACTTCGACGACACCGCACTGCGAGCCGTCTGACTTTGCTGCACTGGGGCGGCAGAGGCTCGGCGTTATGTCTGAGTTTTGCGTGGACGATGTGTTCGAAGAAGGCACCGTCGGTATACTTGTGTGAGCGCCTATTATCAGTGTGAACGTTGAATGATTTCCGCCGTTAAACGTTGAGGCATCTGTTTGTGATGTGCTCAAAAATTTTTTTTTATTATTATGTGAAATGGATTGTTGGGCTTTTTTACATATGTTGCAATGAGCCGTCGTGGGTAACGTACGCTGCCCAGCCAAAGCCTTTCTAATGGCGTTTAGAAAAATTCTGCGGTCTGACGGGCTTGAATAGAAAATATGGCGTATTTTTCCATTTCGCTACTTTCTTCATCCATGGGTCGTATTTTATTTCCAAAGAAACTGCGTTGTAAGACACCAAAGGAATTTTTTTCCCTTTTTTTTTCTCATCTGCCTGCCTTCCACACGGAGGGTTCCGGTGATTGCGGGGCTGTGAAAACACTGCAAACTTGTGAGTTTACAACGAGCCCTGGTATAATACATATAAGCTTTATTAACTACTTTTTTTACTGGTGTGTTGGCCTTGGATCGACCTTAACTGAGGTGTGTGTGTGTGTGTTGGGTACGTTGAGCCAAACTGTCACTCCCCATTGTTGCATTTTTTTTTTTTTCTTTTGCAAGAACTAGTGAAAAGGCTTACACCGGGCGGGTATATATATATATAGTTTTCTCTTCAACTTCTTATTTTTTCTTTTCTTTTACATTTTGCTGCGATTTTTAGCGCAGTAACGCTAAGCGATTTGCAGCATCAAATTATGCCTGGTTCCGAACTAATTTCTGGCGGCTGGTTTCGCGAGGAAAATGATCAGTGGCCCGGGCAAGCCATGTCGCTGAGGGTGGAGAAGGTTCTGTACGACGCCCCGACAAAGTTCCAACACCTGACCATCTTTGAGAGCGACCCAAAGGGCCCATGGGGCACTGTCATGGCGCTCGACGGCTGCATTCAAGTCACGGACTACGACGAGTTTGTGTACCACGAGGTGCTTGGCCACACCAGTCTCTGCTCCCATCCGAAGCCAGAGAGAGTGCTCATCATTGGTGGTGGGGACGGCGGCGTACTGCGGGAGGTGTTGCGGCACGGCACCGTGGAGCACTGTGATCTCGTCGACATTGACGGCGAGGTGATGGAACAAAGCAAGCAACACTTTCCACAGATCTCCCGCTCCCTAACGGATCCTCGAGCGACGGTCCGTGTGGATGATGGCTTGGCGTTTGTAAGACAGACCCCAGACAACACGTATGATGTGGTCATTATTGACACCACGGACCCTGCTGGGCCTGCATCGGAGCTCTTTGGGGAGGCGTTCTACAAGCACGTGCTGCGTATCCTGAAACCGGACGGCATATGCTGCAATCAAGGAGAGTCCATCTGGCTGAATCTTGAGCTTATTGAGAAGATGTCTCGTTTCATCAGGGAGACTGGTTTTGCGTCGGTGCAGTATGCATTAATGCACGTGCCCACATATCCTTGTGGTTCAATTGGAACACTTATTTGTTCTAAGAAGGCCGGCGTGGACGTGACGAAGCCACTGCGTCCTGTTGAGGATATGCCGTTTGCGAAGGATTTGAAGTACTACGACTCGGAAATGCACAAGGCCTCCTTTGCGCTGCCTCGCTTTGCGCGGCACATTAACAACTCAGAATAATTTATGAGCCGTCGTGGGTAACGTACGCTGCCCAGCCAAAGCCTTTCTAATGGCGTTTAGAAAAATTCTGCGGTCTGACGGGCTTGAATAGAAAATATGGCGTATTTTTCCATTTCGCTACTTTCTTCATCCATGGGTCGTATTTTATTTCCAAAGAAACTGCGTTGTAAGACACCAAAGGAATTTTTTTCCCTTCTTTATTCTCATCTGCCTGCCTTCCACACGGAGGGTTCCGGTGATTGCGGGGCTGTGAAAACACTGCAAACTTGTGAGTTTACAACGAGCCCTGGTATAATACATATAAGCTTTATGAACTACTTTTTTTTACTGGTGTGTTGGCCTTGGATCGACCTTAACTGAGGTGTGTGTGTGTGTGTTGGGTACGTTGAGCCAAACTGTCACTCCCCATTGTTGCATTTTTTTTTTTTTTTTTGCAAGAACAGGGGACAAGGCGTACTTCGGGCGCTTATATTGTGGTCTGTTGGGTCGTCTTCTGCAACGTATAAGGGGCTAAGTAATTGCAATAAAAGGGAAGTGATTGAAAGTCCTTTTTTTTTTTTTTTTTTTTTTTTACGGAAAGAAGACATGTCGAGCTCTGTGGATTACACACAGGACACCCCACTTTTTGCGCTTTCCCCAGTGGACGGACGGTACAGGTCCACCACCGCCCCTCTTCGCGCATATTTCTCTGAATACGCCTTCTTTAAGTACCGCGTGCGTGTGGAGGTTGAGTATTTCATTGCGCTTTGCAAGGAGGTACCGGCGATTGTGCCGCTGCGGAATGTTACGGATGCACAGCTCCAACAGCTGCGCGAGATCGCGGTGAACCGGTTTTCCCTTGCGGATGCGGAGGAGATTAAAAAGAAGGAGCGAGTGACGAATCACGACATTAAGGCGGTGGAATACTTTTTAAAGGAGCGGATGGCCAGCAATGGTCTTGCACACGTCTCGGAGTTTGTTCACTTTGGTTTGACGTCACAAGATGTCAACAACACGGCTATTCCAATGATGCTTCGCGATGCTATCAAGGCGACGTACATTCCTGGTCTGGATGATGTATTGAAGACACTGGAAGGTAAACTTGGCGAATGGGATATGCCGATGATTGCGCGAACGCATGGCCAGCCAGCGTCCCCGACAAACCTTGCAAAAGAGTTTATGGTGTGGATCGAACGGCTCCAGGAGCAGCGCCGGCAGTTGATTGAGATTCCCACATGTGGTAAGTTTGGTGGTGCGACTGGTAACTTTAATGCCCACCTTGTGGCGTACCCCTCTGTGAACTGGCGCAGCTTTGGTGATCTATTCCTCTCCAAGTACTTGAACCTCAAGCGTCAGCAATACACAACGCAGATTGAGCATTACGACAACTTGGCTGCCCTGTGTGATGTCTGCGCACGGCTGCATGTGATCCTCATCGATCTCTGCCGCGATGTTTGGCAATACATTTCGATGGGGTTTTTCCAACAGAAGACGAAGGCGGGGGAAGTGGGCAGCAGCGCGATGCCGCACAAGGTGAACCCAATTGACTTTGAAAACGCTGAAGGCAACCTTTTGACGAGCAACGCCCTGTTAAATTTCTTTTCCGCCAAACTGCCCATATCACGTCTTCAGCGAGACCTAACAGACAGCACCGTCCTGAGAAATTTGGGTGTACCGATCGCCCACGCTTGCGTCGCCTTTGCTTCCATCGTACGGGGAATAGAGAAACTGCTTGTGCACCGTGAGACAATTGAGAAGGACTTATCAGCCAACTGGGCGGTGGTCGCAGAGGGCATCCAAACCGTTCTTCGTCGTGAATGCTACCCGAAGCCATATGAGGCCCTGAAGGAATTGACACGTGGCAACCGTGAGGTGACAATGGAGACGGTGCATGAGTTCATAAATGGGCTCACTGGCATATCGGAGGAATTGCGGAGTGAGTTACTGCGTATAACCCCTTTCTCATATCTGGGATATGTACGAACGCATGTATGATCTGCATTACGAAATTTATGTTGCTGGGCAAATATAAAGGAGAAAAAAAATAATTGATGTATACAGCGGAATGGAGAGAAGTGTGGTGGTGAATGCGTTTACCCTTGATTGCTTATGGTGGAGTTTTTTTTTTTTTTTTCCTTTTTTTTTTCCTCTTTTGTTTTTTGCTTTGATTTTGTATCTCTCTCTCTCTCTCTGTCTGTCTGTATGTCTCCATGGATGTATATTAATATGTTGTTTCCTTTCTTTTTTTTCCCTGGGGGAGGGAATAAAAACACGCGAGAGTGTTACCTTCAGAGGTGAAGCCGAATACTCAACAACAACAACAGCAAAAAGAAAGAAAAAAAAAAAAAAAAGAAAAGGGAACGAGGGGACGGAGTTGTAATAAGCAGGAAATACAAAAAAACAAAAAAAAAAACAAGAAAAAAAAAACTCTTTAGGACATGCCGTTTCTAAGTGACCGGGCAGAAATCAACTACGCGGCTAATCCCTGCAATACGGACGCTGCTTCAGACCCTGCGACAGAGGTGGGGGTACTTGACAATGCCAGCATTTTTTCCTCTTCGGTAGCCTCTGAGACGGCTGAGAAGCCGCAGAACAACGTTGTTTCCGTCAACGACAATAAAGAAGGCGATGAAGCACAGCACTCCCAGAACAGGGACCGTTCGGTTTCTCAAGTGGAGAGTCCAGAAAGAAAGGAATTTACATCCGCCACGAATCTGCGACACAAGTCACTGAAGCAGCCGATCCGATGGGAGCGAATAGAACTCGCCGCGCCGATGGATGACCCGGAAGACGAGTTTGATCTCGGCACTGCACAGAAGCCGATATTTCAAGAAGGGACAAAGGGGCTCAAGAACGAGTTTCTAAACGGTGAGCCAACCGTAGAGGGCGAGGTAATGTCCTGCTTTGAGGAGCCCGGGCTGCTGTACCGTATTGTCGACAAGAAGAAAAAAACCTGGGCCTTCTACAATGATTCTCTTGCATTTGAGGTGCATGTCTCATGCGCATTTGGCAAACATTCCAAAGTGGAGCCGCTGGGGAACACAACAATGCGACAAGCGCCTGACGGCAGTTATACCGCCGAAGTTGTTGTTTATCCTGTTGAAACGGAGAAGTTCATCAAGGGGTACGTGAATGGCTTCAGCAGTCAGTTACGTGCATTACCACTTTCTGTTGAATACTTTGAGACGCGAGAGACTTTGCAACATGAAAATTTTTTGGAGAAGGAGTTTGATGCCGTGAAGAGCCTTATTGGCGAGTGGAAAGGCGCAGAACATGCGCTGAAGTCTTGTATTGAAAATAATGTACCGTTTGTCGATTTTGATTTCTTACCGGTCTGGAAGAGTATTCAACTTGGGTCAACACGGGCACCAAAGAAGATGCTCTGGTTACGCCCGCGGATGTATCTACCTGAAGGGCATGTCGAACAGGTGCGTCTCTTCCGCAGACCCATTTTTCCCGGTGATGTGGAACAGGGTGAGCTCGGAGACTGTTGGCTGATGTGTGCCATCGCTACACTTGAAGAAGACCCGGGGGATGTGATGCGGATGTTTCGTAACCCTTTTGGCGCGGAGACGGCACGGCGCGAGCGGGCGGTCGGGGCGTATCGTGTCACTCTTAATACAAGCGGCCTCTGGAGGAGCGTTATTGTGGATGATTACTTTCCAGGCTATGCGGGGATGCCGAGGTTTGCCCACAGCAGCGATGCCTGCGAGGTTTGGCCCTCGGTTCTTCAGAAGGCGTTCGCAAAGTTGAACGGTAGCTACGGCCTGGTGCAATCTGGCGACCCCGTTCACGCCCTCACGGATATGACGGGGTGTCCCGCCTCTCGATTTGACGAGGTCTTTGCCGGGGCACAGGAAAATGGCGGGAAGGAACTCTTTCAGCAACTGCTCCACTACCAGGAGTCTGGGTTCCAGATTATTTTGACAACTGCAGGAAAGGCGCCTGCGTTTATATCCGGCACCAACAAGATTGCCAGTCTCTTTGACGAGGAACCCGAGCTGGAGAGGATACTTGGTGGCACTGGAATTTTGCCTGGCCATGCTTACACCGTCACGGATTTGCGCTACTTCCCCAAAGAGGGCGATCTGCAACTTCTGCAAATCCGCAACGTTTGGGGCTCTTGTGAAGAATGGAGTGGCCCATGGTCTTCAGAGAGTTCTGAATGGGACTCGCACCCGGAGGTGAGAGACGCCTGTGGAAGCAGTCACCGCGATGATAAGGTTATTTGGATGGACTGGCAACACGTGCTGAAGTACTTTTCTGGAGGCGGGGTGATCTATCGTCATCCATCCTACGACTACCGCATCCCCCTGGTCTTCACGGACTGCCGCCCTTCTCTGGTCATTGAGGTAAGTGTAGACAGTCCTGTATGGATGTGTTTTATTCTTTCCAACGTTAATCCCCGTACCGTGCAGGACTACACCAGTCATTTGGGTAAATCACATGAGTACCCGCCGTTGATGCTTTCCCTTTCTACTGCACAAGCAGGGAAATATGACGAACACAAAGTGATAAACAACACTTCTGTGGACGCTGCAAAACCGTCAAGGGACAAATGGACCTTCACACAGGCGCGTGAAATCAGCATGTTGTGCAGGCTCACCCCCGATGAATCACCATATTTGGTTATTCCCCGTATGATGGAGAATGAGGATACCGTGAGCGGAAGCACAGCCTGGTTTGCAAATCTACAAGACCAGACCTACCCGCTGCATTTCAGAAACTGCAACGCGGCGCCATCTGACGTCGATTCAGAGGGGGCAGCAGAGATCCCTGTTGTGTTAGGTGTTCGTTGCTCGAGGCCCATTGGCGCAGAGGGCAACGGCGGGGTAAAAGTGAACTTTAAACGTATCGAAGGTGAAAACGTGGTGTTTGAGAACTTCCCGAAGTTCCCCGCGGAGACAACGGCGCTGAATGACATTTATTATCAGGTGATGTCTCCTACGCAGGGCTACGCGGAGGAAAAAATGGGTGACTCTCTATCCTGAACATCTTCTTTCTGTTGACTGCAATGAGGTTGCAGATCATCCTTTTGCCACCAATGACTTGCAATCGGAAGAATTAGAGGGGAAGGGTACATGGCAATGCAAATCAACGACAGGACGGAGTTTTTTTCTCCCTTTCTCTCCTCCAAAAACAAAAACAAAAAAATTAAAAACAAAAAGAAAAAACATTGAGTAGGGTGGCATGCGAAGGAGAGGAATGCATGGGATTGCGTGTGTTTCTCTGGGGAAGGAAAAAAAAAAAAATAATCAAAAATTAAGATGAATGGGTGACCGATGAGCAGAGTGAGAAGCATGTGCATGCAACTGGACTCTGTAGTAGAGACCTCTTTTTTTTTTTGGGGTGGGGGGGGGGGGGTGGGGTGAATGTGCCAGCCACGTTATTTTTTAGGTTTGGAGTGACTTTATGTTTATTATTATTATTTTTTTTTCTCCACGCCTCTTGCTTGGGTGGGGGGTTTGTGAGGAAGGGGGGAGTAATGCCCTCGGATGTACAGATGAGAAGGACCCCGGGAATAGGCGCAAAACAAGTGAAACGGACGAGCACATAAATACAAATAAAACAAACCAAAATACGAATAAAAATTTTTTTTTTTGATCTTTCTTTTATTATTATTTATTATTATTATTATTTTTGCCCTTTAAAGGTAAATAATAATAAATAAATAAATAAATAAATAAGATGTGTGTATATAAGTATGTATTTATATATATGTATATAAATATGTGTGCAGCGATAAATGTGAAAAGTCATGTATTTTCCTCCCCACCCTTTTTTTTTTTTCTGCTGCTTTCATTTACTTTTTTATTTATTTGTTCATTTCATTTTCAAAAAGAAGGAAAAAAAAAAATAATTTATATGTGGAAGCAAAGAAGGAATGTGGCGGTGCAGGGAGGGAGGAGGTGTCACATTGTTGTTTGATCGGCAAGTCGCGAATGGAGCGTGCTTTTGATTTATTTTATTTATTTATTTATTTAAAACATAGTTACTCGCTACTGTCTAGGAATGAACCGCATTGGCGCTTAGCCACTCTCCCTCTGCGCCGTCTTTTTTTTTGTTAACTCCTCTCGTTATTATTATTATTATTATTATTATTATTATGTATTGTCCGGCTTTTGCCTGGGCTACGCGGCTATTTTTTTAATCCTGTCGGTAGGCGATGCGTATATGACTTGTAATTCACATATTTGTGTCCGCGCATGCGGATACCGCGGTGGGAATTGACCTTCCCCTTCCTCCCTCCCTCTTTTTCTTTTATTACTGCGCAGACACCGCCTATTCCGCTGCCGCTCTCGTGTGTGTTGCATGCGTATTTAAATTGCATTACTTTTTTTTTTTTTCTTTTTTTGTTGTTTGTTTGTTTTGTTTCTTTCGTTCAGGCAGTGCGGTGGGAAATTGAACTCGGCAGGAGCGGGTGACATTCCGCGGCAGTCTTTTTTTTTATTATTTATTTTGTTTTATTACTTGTATTTGTTTGAAATAATAAACAAACTAATATATAAAAAAAAAGGGGGAGGGAAACGCACAATAAACAAGTAAAAAAAAAAAAAAAAAAAAAAAAAAAGAGACAATATAACGTGAGGAAAGTCTTTATTGTTTTCTTTTTTTTCTTTTTTTTTTTCTTTTTTCCTTTTTCTTTTTCGCAAAGGTGCGGGTCGAAGCAAAGAAGGGGGTCGGTCTCTCTTCTCGTCATATTATTCGCAATGAGACACAAGAGCATGTCGTCTTTTTTGAACCCTCACTCGATGAAGGCGTTCGATCGCCCCTGCAGCCAAACAGGAGAAGTTCTGTGGGTTACGCTGCCGTTGCTACTGTCGGTTGCATGGGCAACATGCTGTTGCGTGGCTGTGACTGCGCAGGGGACTTCTTCTTCTCCTTCCTGCCCCTCTGGGTGGGCGTTATGGCCGATAGAGCTGAAGGCGCGTGACGACAGTTCATCGGATAGCGGCACGGTGTGGTGCGTCCAGCCGCAGGAGGTTCGAGTGGCACCGGCAGAGACGGTTGAAGCTTGTGCCCACATCTTTGGCTTACGCCCACCCCGCGGTTGGAGTGAAGCCAACAGGGAGCTTATTCCACAACCGCTCTCTGTTCATTCCCAGGAGCAAAATTTGTGGCTGCAGGGATTGCTGAATCCATTTTTTGGAGATTTGGGGGAACTCGTGGCGCTCGGTGGTGCAGCTGGGTTTGGGGATATTGTTTGGTGGGATGGCATGAACAATGTGAATGGTGCGTCACCCTACACAAATTTTTCTCCGTCAACGAACTGGCAAACACATAGCGGATGCATCGCCATGCAACGCGATGGATTTTGGCGTCTAGTGGACTGTAAAACCCCCAAAAGGCCCTTTGTTTGTGCGTTTCAATGGAATCCTTTGAGTGAGGGGAACACCAGCAGTAACGATGGCGATAATAGCAGTGACAGTGGTGGTGACGCTACGACAACAAATTCTTCATCGGGGGACAATCCTGTCGATGCACCGCAACCCACTCGCCCGCCGGTACCACAACCACCACTTGAATGTCTCGATGGGTGGTCATCATATAAGGACAAATGTTACCGTCTCTACGCGGAATTGATTGACGGGGGAGAAAGAGGGATGAATCAGCAGGCGGCGCAGAGGTTCTGTAAGTCAATTCATCCCCGTGTGACTCTCACTGCCGTTTTGAATGCAGAAGAAGATGCCTTTCTTGGGCGTCTGGTGCAGGACTGGGCACGGTATCACAACTATGATTTGTCTCAAATTGAAGTCTTTATTGGCGGAATCTTTACAGCTCGTGGTTCAGTGGGTGTGTGGTACGAAGACGCTTTGTGGTACGGGGAGAAGGATTATGCGCTCAGCTTTCCTTCGAGCCCTACGTGGCCTACGGCAAAGAACAAATTGTATTCAAATTGGGGTGTGGGAGAGCCGAGTATGACGTTCGGATGCGTGACGGTAGATAATAACGGTACTTGGAGGGCGGTGGACACCCGAGTATCGTTGCCGTTTGTATGTGCTTACCTCAACGACGGTTCTGTTAAACCAGAGGTACCAACCACTGCCCCAGAAAGCGGCTCTGCTTCTTCTGAAGAAGATACAGGCTCCAACGCCACCGATCCAACACCTGATCCACACCAATCGGATTTGTGCAGCGATGATTGGGTGTATTTTGCACCCACCAACCGTTGTTTTCGTGTCTTTACGGATCGTGCTGTTGCTGCGGCCGACTTGGAGGAGTCCTGTGGCCGGCTCTTGGACTCTGCTGCAGTTGACACTATTCATGCGGCTACCATAACATCTGTAGAGGAAAGTGTCTTTGCCGGTCGTTTGGTGGCTGAAGCAGGCGTACAACGTGTACTGGTAGGCGTGTCGTACATAGAGCGAGGAATGTATGGTTTGTATCTCGACGGTGCGTCGGCGTGGGAGTCGACTCTAGCGGAAAGCTTGTGGGCCGTTGGGCAGCCATCACGTGATAGTGGTTGTGTCATCGTTGACCACACTGGTGCATGGTACTACTTTCCCTGTGGCACACCGGCCAATGCGTATGCATGTGCGTATCGCGCAGGGGCGGTTCATGCACCGACGAGCAAACCAGCGCCTACTGATGTACCGACATCAGTAACAACAACAACAACAACAACAACAACTTCTGCGCCAGAGAGAGAAAAATGGCCGCTGGAAACACGCATTGCATCACTTTCAGGGGCGGTTCATTTGGTGTTGGCAGCCGGTACTGTGGGTACATACACGGTGGCAGGCGCGGGTGGACGGACGGACGGACTTTTGCTCATGTTTGCTCCCGATCTATCGGAAATTGTTGCGAGGGTGGGGTGGGATGAGCATGTGAAGGTATCACCATGTGTTTGGGGATACAAAAAACAAGAGTACACATTTGCCGTGATGCAGGGTGTGGTGACAATCGTCCATCCCAACCAGACGATGCGTGGGCGCGTTTGTGTTTCTGATGATGGGATGCATTATGTGCCGGCAGGCAACATCACATTTGAAGTGTTGGACGTGGCACTGCGTGGATTCATTCCCTTTTCCTCTTCACAAAAGGAGGCGGAGGAGGCACAGGGAGGTGGGAGCAACGAAAGTAGCGTTATTGGGGGTGGTAACGACCCCATTTTTGTCTCCCGGGCGGTTGGCATTCGTCTCTGGTCCAGTGGGGTGTTACAACTTCGTTTTCATCGCCGCCTCCCTGGCACACGGGCGGGGATTTGTCATCTTCGTTTTTCATCTTCCCCAGACTGCACGAGCGGCCGCTACGTCCTCTTTGGGGAGAGTCTCACCGTGGTTGAGCGAGAGCGGGGACGAGGGGTGATCACGTATCAACTCGCAAATGTTTTGCCTTCCAACGGCATTGGCCTCGACTGGCTGCACGACCCCGCGGAGGATGAAGAACGGCCGGCTACGGAATTTTTTGTCTGTGCCGCGGCGTCCACGAATCCTCTTCCGCCGCAACCGCCGAACAGCAGCGCGTCAGGCTGGAGCGAGAGGAACTCCTACGACGGTTCGTATTCCTCTATTTCCGATACGGACGTGTTCTACGAAAACGATATGGAAAGAAACACGTCATTTTCATTTTCAGTTGACGGCCAGCCAATGTGGCTTTACACTCTCGTTCCTCACTTGCGGGTGCACGTAACCCCTCCACACGTTGCTGTTCGTGGCATGTGGGCCCTCCCACCCTCGGGCTTTAATGCTTCTGGTGTCTTTGAGCCGTCATCCTTTGGGCCCTCCGTGAAGACCCTTTTTTTGACGCAGTTTTCGTCACCCGTTATTGTTTTTGACGGTGAGGGCCTGCGTGAAGGCATGGTAATGCTCCTATCGCAGGAACGGGGGAAATGTCAGAGGCACCAACCAACGTCTGGGCGCAGTTCGGCCGATTTCCCGCTTCCATCTGCACTAGACACAATGCTTGCCGTTAGTACGGTGTTTTTTTCACCAGGGGCTTTGAATGGAAGCAGCGTTGCTGAAAAAAGTCGTGTGGCGTTTATGCAACTTAATCTTAATCACACAGGCATGTGGGGGACAAATTTCACTGAAAAACGTCAGACGTGGCATCTGTGTTTTGCATATACACCACTCTCGCGGTTTGTACCGCTTGCCGGTTTTAAGATCATTGTGTCGCGGGCTCGTATCTCTGTCACTGCGACACATGAGGGCTACAGTGGAGACGTGAGCAGCGGAAGTGCTGATTCATCGCAACTGAATATTGGCGTAGGTTTCAGTGGCCTGCTAAGGCTGTGGGGTCTCGACGTGCACATGTGGTCCCCTAGCACGATCAGCATGGCGGAGATTGCGTTTGCACATTCTCCTCCAGGAAACGCGAGGATTGCAGATCCGACGCTTCAGTGTACCAATACATCACTTTTTTATCGTCAACGCTCCTTTGGTATTCTTAATCCACACAGCGCTACCAATAATGATCTGCGTTCCTCTCGAAACGTCAGTGGCGTGACTTTGACGGAACAGCAACAACAGCGGGCAGCCGTCGTAGTGATTCCACCAGGGTTTTTGAATGAAGAAACTACGCGTCGCATGCGTGTCTGCCTGTCGGTCCCTCTGTCCTTTCAGAACAACCGCCGTGTATTCATCCCCACCAGCGCTACTGTCGATGTTTACCCCATTGAGGTGCATTTTATTGGACCCTACGCGGTCCATTTTCCCATTGCGACGACGGACACCCCTCTAACGGTTGTAGAGGTGTCTGAAAATGTAAAAGAATTGGTGCTCCCACTTTTTGGCTACGGTTTGAGTGACGACATGATGCTCTTCCTCTCTGAGAAGCCTTGTCTTTCTTTATTTGATGAGGGAGAAACGCATGAGGAGGCAAGAGGAGCATGCGTCGATTGCATTAGCCGCATGAACTTCACCATTATGCGCCCTTATGATGTGCCGCCGAACTACCGACAGTTAAATTCGTCACACAGTTCAGCTTCCGTGGGTGACTTTTTCATTTCTCTAAATGAAACACATACCGCATCCGAGGTGGCTGACCGTGTATTTGGAAGGGCACGGGAACCGCTCTTTCTTTGCCTTTACGCGCAAGGGACGCGCCGCGCGGTGTATCCACTTAGATTTAAGTTTGTTGTACGCCGGCCGTACGTTAAATCGATTCGATCGATAGGCACATCTCCCCTACAACAGGACGGGGAAGCGACGGTGGTTGTGTACGCATCTTTTGTCGATCTTGTTGTGGAGGGATTTGGATTGCATGAGGGAGAGGCAGCGTTCGTCCCTGCGGTGGACTGCAGCAATGCGACAAGTTTCCTTTGGCGCAGTCCTGTTCGCACCTCAGCGGTGCCGTCAATGGTCATCAACGGTGGCTCCATGAGGTACGGCGCCTCTTCATCAAAATCATCGTTTTCTTCTAGATACTTGAGCCCTCTCACTTCCACGTCTTCGTGGTTTCTGTCGCTCACGCAGGCACATACGGCACGTATTGGAGCGGTTGAACCAACCGACGATGTCATTGGACGATTCCAATGGTGTGTGCGTTACCGAGACGCGGATGCAGATGTGGATGGTCGTGCGTCTGATGCTTCTGCTTCTGCTTGTGCTGCTACGGAGGATGTCAATGCGTGGAGGAGGGGGTTTGTACCAACAGGCATTCCATATCGCCTTGTGATTCCACGCGTCGATGGCTTTCTTTTTGGTAACAGCACGGAGAAACACATTAAACGCAAGACGCGACACCCGACGCTCGGAATGTGGGAGAGTCTGCAACTCGTTGGGCCACTTATTGATCACACGTTTGCACTGGGCAATCCACTCTTTATGTTTCTTGCGGAGGATGTGGTGCCGTGTAAAAAACTCAAGAAGCACTTTATTAATACCAATAGCTTTGATCGTTTCATCACGGCGGTGAATGGCTATGCGATTATTTTGCCAAAACTCTTGAACAATACGGGGTCATTCAAACTTTGCGCCAGCGCTATTCACCCTGAGCGACAGTCGTCTGAGGAGGGAACCGAAGCGGCGCTGCAATTTTTTGAACTCAAAGGTCTGCGCATTGAGCTGGAGAGACCTGTCTATTCCGTCTTCTCGCTGAACCGCACGGATTACGTCACGGTGGAGCAGGGGCAGGAGTGGACGCTGCCAATAGGTGGATCGGGTCTCTCCAACATGTCCCTTGTGCGGTTTCGGCCAATCGGCACTAACTGCAGCACGCCAAAGCCTGACTTTTTGGACGATGTAATTGTGAGAAACTTGTTTGAGGGCTTGAAACTATTTGGAGCGTTGGCTACGCCGTTTCGGCCAGAAGGCAACGTTGACAAAATGACTGACTCCCACTACATTGTTCTTGAGCGTGACCTCATTCGAGGCCTCTCTGTGCAGGAGTACATGCTATGTTTCAAACCCGATAGGTCAACGCGGTGGATGAGCTCGGATATTGCGTTGAACGTCCGCGAGCATGTGCGGCATCCAACGCGTTACTCTTACTTTAATGCCGATGGGAGTGAGGATGTTGTCGCTGCCACGGCATTGCCACCAACAAAAATTGCGCTCGAGTGGCTCACAAACGAGAGGGAGACAACGAACATTGTGGCTGCTGCAGGACGTGAAGTGGCAGTTGCACTGTGGTGCCGTGGTGGAGCAAAGGGGAATACAGCTGCTGTGGTGCCATGTGGGAACTGGAGGCGTGTGATGTTCGTTCGGCCGATGGATGACGGGAGCGATCCGTGCTTTACTGATTTTGAAGCCATTCAGTTGGATGTTGTACGTGGTCCATATGTTCTTGATGATGGCATCCTTACAATTCCACGTGCGGTAAGCCGCAACGTGGGTTTTTACCCTAACGCCACGCAGCCCTGGATTTTGTGCCTGGAGACCGCACCGGAACGCTGGCGAGAGTCCATTCATCCACTTCTGCAATTGCAGTTTACGACAGCTGTTCCGGTTGGGTTCCGTCATTTTCCAGATGATGCCAGCAACACGACAGCGACCTTTTTTGGTATGATGGGTGATGCAGATATTTCCGATGATCGCACCGATTTGGAGGGCAACAGAACTTTGATTCTTTACATGGAGGAGACAAGCAGAATATTTTATTTGAATGGCTACGGCATTCAACATGGCTTTTTGATGCGCTTTGGGTCGCACTGTGAAGAAGATGTTTTAGCAGTGGATTCAGAGGGGAATCGTAGTAGAACAGAACTCGTGGCGGCGGTACAGGAACTGAACAATACCCTGCTGTACGAGGAACCTCTCATTCTTGAGGATGACCACGGCGTGTTTCTTTTTCCTTCTACGCACTTCGCCCACCTGGAGGCACGGACGCCAATGTGCCTCTCGACCAATGGAGGTGCGTCATACGTTAAAACGAATCTTTCATTGACGATCCTACCGTCACGTTTGCGACGTGATTTGCCTGCGGATGAGTCACACATTTCTGAGCTTGCCTTCCGTCGCACGCTCGTTGTCCCGCGGATGAGCAAAGGCACAGTGAGTGTCACCGAGTTGAATGCTAATGATTACAGTGAACCCAACAGCATGAACTACCGGACGGATAGTAGTGATGCATTTGCGGTGGGGACGCGGGTGTTGCTTTCTTCTGCATGCCACAAGAGTCGTGAAGGGCTTCCTATCATAGTTGTGATGGTGGCAAATACTCTCACTTTGACAGAAGCCCACACGCGGGTTGCCACAAAAGGACGGCTGCAGATATGTGTTAAAATGTCTGGGGATGAAATTGTTGATGACGGAAATGTTAGCGATGGCGATGGGACAACAAATGTTTTTGCATTTCGTCCGTCGGGTTTCTTTTTCCAGGTGTTGGATGTTGCCGTGACATCGGTTTCACTACATCGAGTTATTCCGAGTGATGTGGCGGAGCAGAATGGCATCCGTCACCTTGTTTTTTGCCGTGGCAATGAGTCTATGATGCTTGTCGTGACCATCGAACCAGGAATGAAGGGTAAAGAAACAACTGAAGAGTTTGTCTCGGCCCATGGTTATAGCGTGGAGGAGCAGTATATAAACATGCTCAATGTACCAGGAGCACTGGCATTTTTCCGTTTGGCGAAGTTTCGTCTTGGAAGACCTTGCAACGTTTTGGATCCACAGGAGCAGGCGGCAACGGTGACTTCACTCTCGAATTTGACCGCGACGTTTGCCAATAACAAAGTACGCATTTGGACAGAAGATGGATCCGATGCGGTGATCTTTGTGGTGCCTTTACACACCGAAAGGAATGAGACAGTGGAGCCATGGTCACCCTCTTCGCTCTGCTTTTCCGTGGATGGCGGTCGGCATTACATGTCCGTTGGTATTTCTTACATCTCTGTCTCGTGGGCCCCAACACTCGGGGTACAGCTCTCCATGGGGGCAGAAGAGGCGGAAAAGGGGGTGAAGAATCAGTCGGTTTTCTCCAGTGCCATTTATATGTTTGAGCAGAAGAGTCAATTTGGAAGGCTTGTAGACACACGTTACAGCACCGATCCGTCTTCTTTCCGCGACACTCCGTTAAACCGCTACTTGAACGGATTCACGACAGACGCGCTCTGGTGCGGCTTCTTGCAAGGTGTGGGGTTTGTGAGTGGTGGTGAGTTGTATTTGCCAGCATTAACAATAGGCGATGAACCGAGTGAAGGCGAGTTACTCTTCTTTATAAATTATCGTCAGCGAGATGTACCAACGGGATTAAGAATGCTTCTAGAACCAATGTCGCTTCAGTGCATCGGAGAGATCCCCACAACCCTTCAACAGGTGCATAGCCAGTCCGCTGGATGGCTGTTGCCCATTGCGAGTCCGTGTGGACGCAGCGTTCAGGCCGGCATGATTGTCCGTTTTATTGATGGGAGTGTGAGGTCCTGTGACTCGCCGGAGGTTGACCAAGCCTACGTGATGGATGCTTTTGTTGTGAAACCGCGGGAATGGATGGGCAGAGGTGTCACGCCAACATCGACAACATTGCAGCTTCCAGCCTCTTTACGTTACGTTCCCAATGGGAAGTATAAACTCTGTGTAAAGAAATTCTTGCCGTACCGATTTGGGAAGGCCTCTGTTTTTGTGGACACACCTGTGAGGATTGAAGTGACTTCTTTGCTTGCGGTGAAGGAATTATCAGGTTTGCGTCAGGGCGTGTTGGCTGTTTTTCAAGGCGGTGAGTTAGACTTAACCGTACGTGGTTCTGTTGTGCCGTTTGCGGATGATGTTCGCATTGCATTTGTGCCAGTAGAGATGGATGTGCAGGGTTCCGCTGCTGTGTGCGGTACTCTTTGGGGAAATTCGGGAGACCGCGGCGTCAATGGGACAATTCCCACCTTGTGGAAGAGGGTGACCGGCGGGTTTACGATTCGTTTGCATTCGATGGAGCTCTTCTCCGGCAAACCCCGCACTCTTTACCATGTATGCTACAGCGTTAATGGGGGCATCAGTTTCCACCCGGCAGGGGATGCGCCGCCGTTTCTGCAAGTGACTGTTCTTCCGCCCACCATTCTTGGGCTCGCGACGGAAAATGGGCAAAGAGTCTACAATCGCGGTGGTTTGACGATTACCGCGCTGCGCCTTGAGCGCCTTTTGGACCTTGATTTCTCTACACCTTCTGACACCGACCCGTCATCTGTGCGAGTCACTTTTTTTGCAGAGCGGCCACCGAGTTATTACCACCATGCAAGTCTGTGTTTTATTGGGAATGGCATTGGCACTGGGAATGACCGTGAGGCGACCAGGGCGGTGGGGGCATTGGCGGTTGCGGTTCTTCGCACAGACATATTTGGGGAAGTGTGTAGCGGAGCCAACTTGACGTCTGTGATTCGGGCAGAATACTCGGAGTCTTCTAATCCGCTGGTGCTTCCAGTGTTTCTTGTAGACACGGGCACAGGTTGTCTCTGGGATCCTGCTGCAACGACGGGAGGCACTGTTGGTGCTGACGGCAGAAGCAATCTTACCGGTAAAGGACGTGATGGTGGGGTTCTACGGGATGATTGGCTAATCAACACGGCGGCTCTCCGCAGAGCGGGCGGCCTTGGCGCAACGCCGCTACTGAAAGGGTCTTCATCCACAGAGGAACGTCTTAGGCGTTTGTCCACCTCGTATCTGCTCTGCACATCCGTGGACGGCGTGCACTTTTACAGCGCTAACTTTCTTTTGAGGAACGAAAGCCAAGGCGACGTGTGGGACTCTACGCTTTTTTCCTCGTTGGCAACTGCGGTTCCGCGCGAGTCGGCGGTGCCTTTAAAGAACGTCAGTCGTCTCCCGCTGGTGCTTCGCGTGGACCCAAATATTAACGGTTCGTATTACACCCGCGACTTGGCCGTTATTTTACAACTTGTTGTTCGCCCACGTTTAGCCGCAGTTTCGACGAACTTGGAATTAGAAACCAGCACAGAATCTCTGGTGCGGTTTCAGCGAGCGGTGGCAGAGTTGCTGCATATTGATCCGGCGATCGTCGTGGCACGTTTGTCTAACCGTCGCGTGGTACTGCCCCCTCGTGCGGAAAACGCTACGGTGTCCATTAAATATCTCACTTACACTTTGTCGATGTCATTGCTTACGGACGCGCGAGTGTTGGATGGCTCAGCAGAAGAGATGGGGACTCTCACGCCGTCTCCAGAGCTTCTCCTGCGGTACGCCAAGATGCTACGTAATAATGACACCCAGACATCCCTCTTGTCGACATTACTACCGCCAGCTGTTAGTGCGGCTGGCCTTGTGACGGTGAGAGCGCCGTATATTAACTTTACGTTTGGCACCGGGGTTGATTTGCATGCGGCGCTGGCGCAGCACAGTCATGAGCTGCCGAAGAGGCCTTTTGAGGAGACGGTGTGGCGGGCCCGTTTTGCCGCCGTTCCGCACGCAACTCTCGTCGCTGAGGAAATCCCTGACGATGTGACGAAGGACTCGAGGGGCAAACTGAATTGGTGGCTGGTGTCATTACTACTTTTATTTTCAATTGCTTTTGTGCTTGGATCAATCTTTTTTTACAGGCGTTTTCTCCGGTTCTATCCCATGAAGCCGCAACAGAAAGAGGAAAAAAAGGCGTCGCATGGGCGTTGAGAAATAAAAAAAAAAAAAAAAAAAAAATGGTGAGAATTGTGCGGAATGGCGGTAACGTCGCTGCGTCAAGGGAAGAAGACGAGTGGGCGTGAAGGCGATGATACATCATATAAATATATATATATTTATATTTCTCCAATACCCATATATCTATATATGTATTTATGTATAAATTTATCTTTACGCACCAGAGGGCTACGGCTGCGTTTACCATCGAGCGGGAAGGAAAAGTAAAAAAAAAAAAAAATAAATAAATAATAAAAAATAATAATAATAACAGAAAACCACGTGTGGCCGTCGTTAACGTATATATTTATATATTTTCTCTTTTATGTGTGTGTGTGTGTGTGTGTTACGGCACTGTACTTGTTGACATGCTCACGTTTTTTGTTTCAACATGTCCCTGTCGATAGTAGGAGGAGAAGAAGGGAATTTTCGCCTTTACAATCGTCGTGTGTTTAGCGATCCCACTTCTTTTTAGTTATTTTTATTGTTGGGGGACTTTATTTTCTCTTTTCTCTTTTTTTTTTTCTTTTCTTTTTGGGGGTGTGTGGGGGAGGGAGTTATTGAGGGAAGGAGCGGGAAAGAGGAAAGCCAATTTATTTCTTTTTTTTCTTTTAAGTTTTGACTGCGACATATGGCACTGGCAGAGTGCAAAGAAAGCGACAGGAGTGTCGTCAAACAGGGGCGTCGACGCACCGAGTCAACGGTGCAACGCTTCGCCAAAACTGCCATCGGTGAGGGATTTGACCTCTGGGATAGGGATTACCTTTTAGGTGCGATGCGGCTCTTTTTGTTTAAGGGGGAAACGGCCCCACCGTTTCAGGTCGGTCCGTGCATGGATGCCACGGGGGAGATTCTTGTTCAGATGGAAGAGTACGAGGACGCAGGGGAGCAGTTTACGGCGGCGGCGGCGAAGTACGCACTCATTCAACAACCAGGGCTGGCGAAGCTGATGGAGATCAAAGCTCTGGAGTGTTCAAAGGGCCCCAGAGCGGCCTTGGATGAAGTGACGGCATTTCTTTTACAACAAACTACAGCACCTGATTTTTCTGGGATGACACCTACACTTTCTCGAATACATGCATACAAGGCGGAGCTGATGTTAAAAACAGCAGCGGATTCAGGTACGATGGAGAAGGCTGTGGACTTGGCGAAGGCGGCATGTCAAGTTGGCTGGGATCGTGCCCATACTGCCTATCTCATCTTGGGTGATGGGTTACAGTCTCTTGGCCGTTTGGAGGAGGCGTGTGAAGCGTACGCGAATGCCGTAAAGTTCAACTCTAATTGCATCGCAGCTCTGGAACGTCAAATGGGGGTACTGAAGCTCTTCATCAATGACACTTCGGACGAGTCACGGTTGAAGACGCTGCGGAAGGAGCTCCTACAGCTGCTAGACTGCGCGATTGCACTTCACCCTCGTCCCACGTTGCTTCGGGAGAAGGCCTTTCTGCTGAGTGAGACGGAGGGCGACGTCGCGGCGCTTCAGTTTCTCGATCCGCTTATAAAAAATCCCCCGCCAGAGGAGGCAGATGCGGCGGGAGGCGTTGCAGGCCAAACTGTCGCAACACTTCTTAAGGCAAAGGCCGCTATTCTTGCGGATGGCGGCAGCATGAGCGAGGCGCTACTTGTCGCGGAGGCCGCATTACGGGAAAGTCCTGGCGATGAGGAGGCGGCGGCAATTGTCGCAGAATTGCAGCAGGCCATGTAGCACCACATTGGCCAGGCAAAAGGACATTACCGAAAACGGGGGAATGAATGAAAAAAGGGATTGTTTTATTATTATTATTATTATTATATTATGGCGTTGTTGTGAGCGTAACTTTGCGCCGGATTTGGCCGAGGTAAGAGAGTGAGCGTAATATCTATCTATATCTATATCCATATAGATATGAAAAAAGAAGACAAAAGGGAAGAGGCATACATGGGAGGAGGAACGCTGGTTACTCCGTGATGTAGAGTGTGAGAGATGAAAGGAGAGGACTGGAGGGAAACAAAAAGAGAGAAAAAAAAGGAAAAAAAAAAAAAAAAAAAAAGGGAGGGGAATGAGAGGCGGAATTAAATGAAATGGTGTAAATTATCCAGCCGGGGCAGGATCATGTGTGAAACAGGACGAAAGAATTATATAATATTATATAATCCCCTTTTGCTTCTGCCTTTGAAAGGCAAGAAGGCCGCCGATAAGACAGACAGAAGAAAAGAAGAAGAGAAGGGAGAGAGAGAGAAAAAAAAACAAAAACAAAAAAAATAATTGTGTTTGAACTTGTGGCGGGTGGTGGTGAAAGAACGAAAAAACAAAAAAAAAAACAAAAAAAAAAATGTACGGGCAATTGGCAGGTGTCTGCATATAAATATATAAATATATATATATGGTGCATGTATGCGCACTTATTTCTTTATTTATCCATCTATTTATACCACAGACCTATTTGGATGCGCGTTACATCGTCAAGAGTTTTTTTTTTTTTTTTGCCACTAATTATTGTATCAAAAGGAAAAAATAAAAGTCTTTTTTTTTTGTTTGTTTCTGTTGTTGTTGTTGTTGTTGTTGTCGTTTCTTTTACTGCTATTTTCATTATTATTTATTTTCTTTATTAGTGGAATTTACAATGAAATCAAAAGAAGTGGGATTTGGAAATACGGCAAAACACACACACAAGCACACACACATGTATTTGTGTGTATTGGAAGGAAATAGAGAGAAATAAAGAGCGGATGGAGGCGGGGGATTATGTGCGGTGGATTTTTTTTTTTTTTTTTGCCACTTTTTTTAAATAACAAAAAATAAAAAAAAAAGAGTTCTTTTCTTCGATTTTTTATTTTTGTGTTTAATTTACGTTTCCATTTCCCCCGGGACATGAGTCTCTCTTTTTTTCTGTCTGTCTGTCTGTCTTTCTCTGTCTGTCTGTGTGTTTGTGTCATGTCGAAGATGCCGTGGGGTTGGTGGGTGGGGTGGGAGAGAAACGGAGGCCGTGCTTGCTGCAGTTGTGTGGGCGCGCAAACTCACGCGTGAGTGGGTGAGTGAGTGAAATTGCTTTTTTTTTTTTTTTCTTTTCTTTTTTCTTTTTTTTTTTGCGTCTTATGGATAACTCAGTTGTGTGTGTGTGTGGGTGCGTGTGTGTTTTATATATTCATATGTATACAAAGTGCGCCAATAAATAGTAAATATGTATGAATCTATTTATTTACTATTTATTTACTATTTATTTATATATATATAGTAGTATTCCTTTTCCATTTCCATTTTCTTTTTGTGTGCGTGTGCTGCTGCTGGTGGTGGTGGTGGTATCGGTGCGGATGTTTTTCTTCTTGATTTTCTCTCTTTTTTTTTTTCTCTCTCTCTCTCGTTGTGTGCGCGGCGTCGCAGCCCCGTTGCTGTTTTTTTTTTTTTTTTCTCTTTTGAGGGGGGAACCGAAGATGTCTGCAATTTTGACTCCTCCTCCTCCTCCCTTCCTTTTCTTTCTTTTTTTGGTTGGTTGTTTCCCCTGCGGTGATGTCCCCCGTGGGAGGCTGCTGCTGCTGCTGCTGCTGGCCACATCCCCCTTCCTTCTTTTTTTTTTTTTTTTTTTTCACTTCTCTGCAGCGTCGCGCTGTCTTTTTTCTCTTTTGGTTTCACGCGGAGGGCCGCTGGAGAGAAGAAGTGGGGGAGGCACAACGGCCAGGGGAACAAAACAAACAAACAAACAACAAAAAAAAACACTCGCAGGAACAGAATTTATTATCAGACGGCACGTGCAATTTTGCCGTCCGTGTGCACCTGCGGGGGTCCTCCTTCCATCGTCGCCACCCTCGCCGCAGTAGGACTGTGGCAATCGAGGGCGCACGTTTAGACCCCACCATCAAAAAGGGGGAAGGGGGAAGGAGAGGGAGAGGCAAATTCGACTGTAAAGCATTAAAAAAAAAAGGAAAAGAATCAAAGAGAGGAGCGAGTCTGTTTTATTTCATTGTTTTATTCCTGTGGCCCATTGCATTTTCCACAAACTAACACACAGAGAGAGACAAACAAACAAACAAAAAACCGTCTTTATTATTATTATTATTATTATTATTATTATTATTATTATTGCCTTAGCATTCGCGGCGTTGTCGTCGCGGCCATTTTTTTTTATTGACATTTCGTCCGGGCGATAACACTTTCTTTTTTCATGCCTCAGTCCTCGCTGACGGCGACGAGGCGAGGAAAAACAGCAATGCAAAAGCGCAACCCGCCTGTTGCGGCCGTGCGAGAGTATTTGATGCCTTTTGGTGGGCCGGTGACTTGGCACGCGGTACCTCGGGCGGCGTGTTGCCACTGCGCCGCTTCTGGCGCCGCGCGAGCCTTGACGGCGCCCACACCCAAGAGAATAATGACATTTCACAGGAGGAAAGGCGGTCAGACTTTTCCCTCTGACCCAGCGCGGGTAATGCCGGATTCAATGAGAAAAAAAGGTTTAACCTGGAGCGGGTCTTCAGGAATGGGCGCATTGGATGATGTGGTCCTTGCGCCACAAGGGCATTTTGCCCATTCATCTGTCATGTCCCCTTCATCAGCGAGTTGTCTTTCTGCGGGGTTTGTGCGGCTCACGTCGGATGCTGCTGCCGTCCCTATTGTGAAAAGTGCTGTTGCTTCTGGCGTCAATGATGGTGATGATGAAAACAATTCACGGTTGTCATTGAGTCGGCGAGGTTTGTCGGTACACGCACCACCATTTCAGCCGCGCACACCTACGGCTTTGAGTGCGCTGTCGTCAAGAATTGAGGTTTCAGAATTGGGGGATTTGCTTTCTGGACAAAACGCCCAGCAGCAGGAGTTGAGTAGCAGCGGCGATGTTGCCGTTGGCTGTCTCCAGTCTCAGAGGGTACGTACGTCAGGCTTGGAGTTTCCCCGCACCCCGCTGGCTATAGAATCGGCAAAAGTGTACGTACCCACAACTATTGGTAGTGTTGCTGGTGGTATCTTGCCTCATGCATCGTCTGCGGCGTCGTTCTTTGGCGGTGACTCGTTGCAGTTATCATCTTCT